AAAGTTAAACCATCCCTCCCTCACCTTCAGCCTTCAGTGAATGTGCTTCTAGTTGTCAGGAACGCTGAAGAATTAACACTCTGACTTTTAAATGTGATACTGACTTGGCAGATTCCCTTAAAGCAGAAAGGAGAGGAGCACAGATTAATGTGTATGGCTTCTCTTTGGTTTTATGTCTCTTAGGATTTGGAAGTAGTTGAGTTTTAACACTGGTATGAAGATAAAAGTCCTTAGTTAAACCATGTTCTAAAATTCGATTAAAGAGTCAGAAGAACACAGAACCCATCACTTTTTCTAAACCAGTGTGACGAGAGGCTGTGTTTCTGCATTAAAAAAGATACTCAGGCTTTGTGGTCCTGATCAAGGTCCTGGTAATTGGAGTTCACCCTAGGTGCTTTTCCTTTATGTGACTGGCAGATAACACAGATTTAAATGTTACTTAGGGACTTTTTTTCCTTAGTCAAGTGCAGCTCGATTCTAATGCATTCATGCTGCATACATGATCCTGCAATGCAGCAACCTTACCTTTAAAAGCGTAGCAGTCTCCTCAATATGACCTCTAGACTAAAAGGGCAGTGATCTTTTTCTAATAACCTCAATGTTCCCTGGTTTTATTTTCATCTCTTACTGTAAGTACCCTACCTCCCCAAGTAAAAACAGTGCCCACCTCCTGCTTATTTAATGATGACTGTAATGTACCTGCAAATGGCGCTTCCAGTACTGTGTTCACTGGTCCACATTTGTGCTTGGACTAGAAGGGGAAAAAACAAAGAAAGCTTAATTGCCAAGAGAACTGCAAATGAGTTCAATGTGACTTCCCGGTGCTAGTTGGCCATTTTGGCTCAATGTTGGGACACACTATCAGAGAAGAGCTTTCCTTGATGATGTTCTGTTCAAAATGAATTCTGAAGGAAAAGATGCTCACGTCTGTTTCAGAGCATACCCTTCTAAATCTCTTTAGACTACTCTTCTAGAATTCATTGTAACCCCAAAGTATAAAAGCTATCTGGGAGTTGCCCCTGACAAGCTGTTGCACATCTCTGGTGAATCCTGCTGAATGTAAGGGATATTTAGAACTTCCATACCTCATCATGATATTATTTAAGCAGCCAATTTACATGACCCTATTTACTTTGAAAAATTCATTTCCTTCAAACTAGAAAGTTCCAGAGTCAAAGGACATTTATCAGCTAAGAGTGTGATGCGTTCTTGCCCTAGTCTTTAAATGTGTCTGTGCTCTGGGATGGATATCTTCTGATGTCTGTCACTGATGGGGCAGGCACTACAAAACTAGTCAGCTCCCATCTGTCCTGTTGTTTTCTAGTGCTGCTTTGTGCTGAGAGAACATGTTAGTTTACTGAACTTGACCTGTACAAGACTGATTCTTTGTAATTTTAGGGATAAATTAGGTGGTTAATTTAAAGATAAACTTTCAATGTTGCCTTTACATCACATTAAAATATCACTTCTTTCAGAAGGGTAATAGAAGCACTGATTCATAGTAAAAATCTTGTTTTTAGCTTTGGCTTTTTCGTGGCTGATTTTTTTTTTTTTGTAAATTACTGGTAATGTTATTTCTGTAGAATGTTTTAAATTATGTACCTTTATTGCATAGTTAAAATCTTTGCATCTTATAAACGAGTTTGGATGAAAAGAGATACAAAGCACACAGAGTTGTCACCCTACCTTACCAAGGGCATACAGCTGGAACTTTTGTAACAATTTTAGGGTTACCCAGTGACGTTAGGTCTAGTAGCCAGTGCAATCTGTTTTATCTAAAACAGAAGATTTATCTTCAGCTTGACCCAAGAAGTTCATGAACCTTAAATATCCTGAACTTTGTTTTTATAGTAAAATGATTAAATGTAAAGATTTAACAGCAAATTCGGATGTTCTGGAAACGAGTCCTTAAGGAGCAGACTGATGGTTTAATACAAGTGGAATGTTAGGGTACTTGTAAATCCTATCTTCAGTTCATCTGGCAGAGTCTGTTGATGTAGTTTAATCTTTTGATATTTTTATCAGAAAGGTGTCACTACAGAAGCATGTTAGTATCTACAGCACAACAAGCTCTAGGGTTTAGACAGCGATCGGGCAAAGTGGCTTTGTTCTCTTTACCTTTCCCTGTCTTCCCTCAGACTTCTATACTGAGAACTTTGGTCTTCAAACAATGGCATTCAGAGAATTTGAGGTGTATTGGGTACCTGAAGGACCAACAGGTAAATATGATTGGGTGGAGAAATAACCCAGAAAGTACAGATACCGCATATAAAGAAAAGGATTTCGGAGACACAGTTCTCTGTGGAACACTTGGTTCTTGTCACCAGTCAAAGCCACTTTTCTGACGCCCTCATCAGTCGTCCCTCCTGGAAACTGTCGCGCTAGGGTGGTTCTTCCGTGTACCAGACAAAGCTAGTGGACTCTGGGTATTTTTCAGCCTTACTGTCCCATAAATAAATCTGAATTATTCCAGTTGCTGCTGATTATGCCTAAGAAAACATATGTAAGTATAATTTGTCAACCAAACTCTGTTGTACATGACTACCTACCGGCAACTTTGATTTCTGTAGTGCGAAATAAACATTTCAGCTGTCTGACCCCAGATGTGGGGCTGCATTGTAAAACAGGTTTGCCTTGGGTTTCTTTAAGATTTATTTTATCTCTGATTAATTTTGTGAAAATTGTCACACCAATAAGCAAACCATTTTAGGTGTATTTAGAGGCTAAAGCTTTTGACTTACGTTGGAAATTCTGCTCAGTAATGTACAGTAAAAAAAAAAGGAGTTGCTTTTTGAGAGGGGTATTGTTTCCTTTCAGGATACATACCTGTGTTCTGCGTCCTATGTTCAGGATACACACCTATAAGCTGCCTCCTACATTCCAAAATTGGCTTATTTGCAGTTTCATTTGACATCTCAAATCAGTAGAGCCGTTTCCCTCTGCATAGTTGGGAAATATTTTGACTTACCTTTTCCCATCATCCAAAAATATTTAAAAGTAATTTGGGATTAGGTGTGACTAAGTGTTCTATGTTGGCTATAATGTAAATGATACTCTATAATATTCTTCATTGTTAGGAAAGTTATAAGAATGAGTACTAAGACATTAGGATAATGTTTAATAAAATAGATATTTAACTTTTTATTTATTTATTTTGATTTTGGTTTTGGTTTTTGTTTTTGTTTTTGTTTTTTTTTCTTCAAGGCAGGATTTCTTTGTGCAACAGTCCTACCTGTCCTGGAACTCACTTTGTAGACCAGGCTGGCTGGCCTTGGACTCAGAGATTCATCTGCTTCTGCCTGGCTGATATTTAACATTTTTAAAATATCAAATTGCTAGAGCTGAGCTGGAGAGATGATTCTTCTGTTACGAGATCTTCTGTTATAACTGGGCAGTGGTGGCGCACACCTTTAATCCCATCATTTAGGGAGGAAGAGGCGGGCAAATCTCTGATTTCGAGGCCAGCCTGGTCTATAGAGTGAGTTCCAGGACTGGCTCCACAGCTACTGAGAAACCCTGTTTCAAAAAGCAAACAACGAAAAAGAGAGATCATCTTATAGTTACAAGAAGTACTGCTCTTAAGGAGGACAGGAGTCTGGATCCAGCACCTATATCAAGTGGTCACAGTTGCTGGTAGCTCCAGTTCCTGGGATTCCAGAACCACCTTCTGGCCTCTTCAGGTACCAGGGACACCACGGTGTAGATGCATACTTGTGAGTAAGCACTCAACACAGATAAACACAAACCTTGGCTGGTCAGTGATGTTGCGCATCTTTAATCCCTGGATTTGGGAGGCAGAAGCAGGTGGGTCTCTGAGTTCAAGGCCAATCTGGTCTACAGAGCAAGCTCCAGAACTGCCAAGGCTACACAGAGGCACCTTGTGTTGGCAAACAATAAACAAAACAAAGCAAAAAAAAAAATTAAAAATATTTAAAGTTTCAAATTACTGTTGGACAAGAGATTATCTGAAGGCTTGATGTAAGAATTAAGGATTATTAGTATAGAATGTTTTCAACTAAGAGTAATCAGAAATGTCTATTTTCCTTTAGGTCAAATAAAAGCAAGTCATGTTTGTTTAGTGTCTGTAGTGTGTCAGGTTTCAGATGGATAATGATGTATGACAAGATCAAGGTTTGATGGATTACTTTGCTCCATTGTCATCATTCTTAGATGGTGCTGTCCAGAGGAGAGCTTTCCCAGTTGTGTTCTCATGCCCATGCAGCATTTCTGTGCCCAGGAAGCCTCTGCTGGCGTTTAGTGGCTGTGGCTGGGCAAGCCTTCTGTATTGGAGCATCTTCCATCGTGTCCTCATCAGCAATACTTTTAAATGGCTCCCGCTCATTTATCAATTGTTATTAATTTGCATCTTCAGATAGATGAACTGACCCCCCTTGTCCCCAAGTATCTCTCGCCTATACTACTAAAATTATATATAGTCAGACAAGTATAACAAAAGTTTAAATGAAATTCATATGGTTGATTGTGAGTTTAGTGACATAATGACTAAACTCAGAAATATCTTTTTTCTCCAGTGAAAATATAGAGGGTACTGACAGGGAAAAGTTTCGGAATGCAGAATAATTGCTCTTATAGTCAGCACCATGGGCGTAAAGTTAAACTACTACTTCTAAACAGTATATTTTCCTGTTGACATCTTTTGTTTCATCTGCTGGGTATTTCCTACCTTATGACATTTTTGGCCATTGTGTGCCCTTTCTCAAGAGTGTTCCTACAATTGATTGGGAATGACTATTGATTCTTTGTATTTAACGCACTCTGCCAGGCCATGGATGAATGCTTTGCACATAGTAAATTTTCCATAAGTAATGAATGAGGAAAATACATCTGTGATAGTAATGGATGCTTGATTACAAAAGAAAATTCAGAGAAATTCTTTCATAGTTGGCTGAAATCAGAACTGATAACTATTAAAACAATTGTCTCAACATAAAGTATCTTATTTGAGGATACATTAAAGGACCTGAAGTTTACAAAAAGAAATGTCATCAAAGCAGATGTCTGTGACATCAGGAGAACGAAAAGCTGTGTGGCATATTTTACAGACTAACATACACCAGTGTGTTTGATACAGCAGACAACATTAGTCTGTTCGGGCATATTTTAAAGTTTTGTTTGCATGGAGAATTGACTCAGTGGTTAAGAGCACTGACTGCTCACAGAGAACCTAAGTTCAATTCCCAGTACCCTCATGGCTGCTCACAATTCTGTAACTCCAGTTCCAGGGTGGTCTGATACCTTCACACCAAAGCACATAAAATGAAGTTAAATTATTTTGAAAGATTTGTAATTGACTGATGTGGAAGCAAGTGTCTAGGCTGTTGAGGTCTTATGTTTTCATGTACTCTGTATTGCAGGAGAATGTTTTTATTTCTCCAGGCTTATGTAACAAGTGAACAAAAAGTCTGACTTTTCACTTTCCTTTTGAGATGTGCTGGCCAGGTATTTTTGTGAAGATTCAATCAAAACAGCTTCAGTTCATGCAATCTTGTTTCATCTGTAGTACAGAATTGCTGGATGTACAGATTTACTACAAAACTTGATTTTTGCCCATGCTTCACCTGCATTTTGGGGGTGTGTGGAGGGCAGTACTTTTTCAATAACAAAAGCAGGCTGGCATTAAACTGCTTTAGAGCTGAGGGTATCTTTGAGCTGGTCTTCCTGTTTCCACCGCTGCGGTGCTGGAATTATGGGCAGGCGCCAGCTTCACCTACATTTGAAAGATTGCTGAGTATCCAGGCTCCTCTGTAATGCAGTGTTTCTGCAGAGAATTAAAGCTGTACTTTACATATCTATCCGTATGCCCTTAGCCCAAGGAAGCAAGTGGAACGCAGAGAAGTGACCATAAGGGTCTCAGTCTTAACAACCCTTTGAGCTCTAGGTAAGGAGCAAATGAAAACCCCAAAGACCAGTGGTGGAAACAAAATAGTTCAGGGCTTGGGAGTGTCCTGGACAGCCAAGTTGTGATGGAGGAAGGTCATTGGCCAATAAAGAAACTGCTTGGCCCTGTGGGTGGAGTAAACAGAACAAAATGCTGGGAGGAAGAGGAAGTGAGGTCAGAGTCTCGACAGCTCTGCTCTCCTGAGCAGACGCCTCAGCAGAGACACCATGCCCTGCTCCCTGGCAGACACACGTGATGAAGCTCGGACCCAGGATGGACTAGGCTAGAATCTTCCCGGTAAGACCGGTGCTCACCGATTATTAGAGATGGGTTGATCGGGAAGATTCTAGCCTAGTCCATCCTGGGTCGAGCTTCATCCCGGGAGCGGGGCATGGCGTCTCTCTCAGGCGTCTGCTGCTGAGAGGAGAGCTTTAGAGTCTCTGACCTCACTTCCTCTTCCTCCCAGCGTTCTGTCCTGTTTTCTCCTCCCACCTATCCTCTAACCAATAAAATGGGCCAGGGCAGTGCCTTTATTAGCCAATGACCTTCCTCCATCAAAGTTGTAAGCATGGAATTTTACAAGGGTAACATGACTACGATCGTGGACAGAGGTCATCAGTGAACACTGACTTGCTGAAGGTAGTGCTTTTAAGTTTCTGCATCAATTGACACCCTGATTTTGCCATCTTTAGCTTTAAAAAATGTCCAGTTTTAACTGATGCTCATTAGCAAATGTCCTATTTACCTATTTAATCTGAATAGATTTTCTTGATTTGGCAGAAGCGTAGGAAAATTGGGTTTGTAGTCCAAACAGCTGCTTTAAAGAAGCCAGTTTCAACGGTTAAGATAGAATGGAGGAATCTTTCCAAGGCCATAGAAGTGTGATAGATGTTTTTAAAAAGTTCCAACATTCTGTTTAGAAAGTTGAGCAGAGACATGAGCCCTTGCATTATAAATGGGAGACTTAGGGTAAATTAGAGAAACTGATTTGATTTCTGAAATTTGAAACAGGTCCATGGTCTTCTGAGAAGGGTAGCTTGTTATAAAAGGATAACCATGACACTGCCTAGGAACTCGGGGTCCCACTCGGATTGCTGTTTGCTTAGCTCCTCCCAAAGAGCTAAGCAAATCTGTTAGGACAGCTTGTTAGAACATGGTAATGATTACTAGTCTGTTCCTAGCCTTTTCTTTCCAGAAGCCCTTGATGCTATGTATAAACAAGGTCTACACATCAAGAAGTGAATTTTACTCTTTTCAAAAGGAAAAGCCGACTCTTAATTCTACCCACATACTAAATCTGCACTTTTTGTTCCTCATAGTTGTGTGTATTGGACATCCTGTACCACCATCCGGTCTTGGCTCTTAGCATGAAGTATCCAGGCTAAGAGCCAAAGGTTTGCTGATTTCTCCCATCATAACCTTGTTTTTTGTTTGTTTTGGTCTTTTAAGACGGCTTCACTGCAGAGCCTTGGCTGATCTGGCATCCACTCCTTAAACCAGGGTGGCTTTGAACTCATCTACCTCTGCCTCCCTAGGCCTGGAATTAAAGGAGTGTGCTACCTCCGCTAGGAATAACCTTGGGTTTTAAAAGACTTAAAAACAAATGTGGGTTTTTTTGTTTGTTTTTGTTTTTCGTTTTGTATTTTTCGAGACAGGGTTATGAAGCTCTGGCTGTCTTGGAACTCGCTCAGTAGACCAGATTGACCCCAAACTCACAAGATACCCATCTACCTCTGCCTCCAGAGTGTTGGGATTAAAGGCGTGGCCAACGGAGGTGGAGGTGTAGATCTCAGGGTTTCCTAAACGTCTATAAAAGAATTGTAAGCCACTAGTTTTACGATCTGTGCATTTGCTCTGCTCCATTCCCTAGCCATAGTAAGTAGATCTTGTGGCTGCCAAACTCCGCATCAGAGGAGGGCGGGGGCAGAGGCCAGCTATGCTTACAGTCTTCCTGAAGTGCCCGCGGGCGGGGCCGCGCCCCTTCCTGCACCCAAGCCTCCCACAGCAAAAAGCGGGGTTCAGGGGCAGGGTCCAGGAAGACCGGAAGCAAACGTTTACTTTCTTAGGCGCAGGCGCCATTGGGCAAGTCCCATTGGTAGTTGTGGGCCTGCGCTGTGGAGCATCCCCGCCTCTTTTTGAGCCTTCTCAAATTCTGTTTAGTGTGGCGTCTTCAGTTTCTCACTGTTCCCCAGACGCTAGGGAGCTGGGGAGAACGTGGAAGAGGACTTTCTGTGCAGCCCTCTAAATCCCCGAACGACTCTAGTCCCAGCAAGAGTACCGATCTCACAACCACTGTATCCCGTTCTCTGATGCTACCGAAGAAAGTGGGAGGAGAGTGGTCCAAACCTTGCTTCTGATTCTGTGCTGACCCAAAAGACAAGCTCATGTTACAAACAAAAAAGTGCGCCTTCAAATGGCAAGTTTCTTCTGCCAGGCTCCGGGCCGGACGCCTGCGCAAACTGTAGGTCCGAGCTATGGCGACTGAACATCCCCCAGCAGAGGGAGCACAGCAGTTGGCCCTCTGCTCTGCCACCCAGCGGGCAGGAGAACCGCAGAAACCCAACTATGCCCTCAGACTTACTCTTGAGGGGCACTCGGCGGCCATATCATCAGTTAAGTTTAGTCCTAACGGAGAATGGCTAGCAAGTTCTGCCGCTGATACGCTAATTATAATTTGGGGGGCATATGATGGGAAATGTAAGAAAACACTCTGTGGTCATAATCTGGAAATATCAGATGTTGCCTGGTCTTCGGATTCTAGCCGTCTCGTTTCTGCCTCAGACGACAAGACTCTAAAGTTATGGGATGTGAGATCTGGAAGCTGTTTGAGAACACTAAAAGGGCACAGTGATTTCGCCTTCTGCTGTAATTTCAACCCGCCATCCAACCTCATCGTTTCGGGGTCCTTCGATGAGAGTGTGAAAATATGGGAGGTGGAAACAGGAAAGTGCCTCAAGACCTTGTCTGCCCATTCGGATCCCATCTCTGCCGTACATTTTAATTGCAGTGGGTCCTTGATAGTGTCGGGGAGCTACGACGGTCTTTGTAGAATCTGGGATGCTGCCTCGGGCCAATGTTTAAAAACACTTGCTGATGATGGCAACCCTCCCGTGTCTTTTGAAAAATTTTCTCCAAATGGCAAATACATTCTCACTGCAACTTTGGACAATACTCTTAAACTGTGGGATTGCAGCAGAGGCAGATGCCTGAAGACATACACTGGCCATAGGAATGAGAAATACTGCATATTTGCCAGTTTCTCTGTGACTGGTGGAAAGTGGGTTGTGTCTGGCTCTGAGGACAACATGGTTTACATCTGGAACCTTCAGACTAAAGAGATTGCACAGAAGCTACAAGGTCACACAGATGTTGTGATCTCGGCAGCTTGTCACCCTACAGAAAACATGATTGCATCAGCGGCGTTGGATAACGACAAAACCATCAAAGTGTGGACGAGTGACTTGTGAAGTCGCTGGCAACCACCGATGAGTAAACTAAGTCAGAAACAATCGAAAGGGTGACTCCCTGAAGTTTGCCTGGTTTTGTAGCTCTTGTCGAATTGTCTTTGATGTTATGAGTTTGAGACATTTTAATTTGCGAAATAAGACCGGTATAAAAGCCAGTCTAGGACCTGTTGCTTATGATCTTAATTTTGAGGCCTGTTGTCAATCTCATGTCTTGGTCCCTGGACAGCATCATCCATTTCCTTTCATAGCTTTCTCAGAGGGGAGGATATTTGGGGTATTCAGAAGGTTGACAGAACAGGATGGCTGAGAGAAGGGGGATTCACAGTTCCTGTTTGGGAGGCCACTAAGGACGAAGGCAAACGTTGAGGGAGGAAACGAGAGGACTGAAGTTCTACATGTCACGTGCATATTTTTTGTGCATATTCTACATGGACTATCTTATTGCCACATAATCCGTCAGGCTGGGGACAGTAAGTCTGGTCAGGTTCAGTCTACAAGTCTTAAACTTCTGCCTGTGTTGTGGTCAAAGGACAACCCTCAGGAGTTAGGCCTCTCCTTATGCTGTGAGCTCCACATAGCAAACTCAGGGCAGGCTTTCTCAAAAGAGCCAGAATCTTAAATCGTTTTTGAGAAAGGGGTTTGCTCTGTAGCCCTGTAGGCCTGGTTGGCTGGAAAACCAGACTGGTCTCAAGCTCAGAGATCTACTTGCCTCAGCCTCCTGAGAACCTTAAACATTTAATGGGAAAATCTTCTTAAATATTTTATTAGATGATGCCATTTTGTGACTTTTCAGGCAAATTATATGTCAGGTTGTGGCTGTTAAGTTAGGAGCATAGCTCCAGCCCCTGGCCTGGGAGTTGCTTTGCTCTGGACTCCAAATCCCAAGCATGTCAGATCCTGACACACACACACACACACCCAGGGGGAGGGGTCAGGACCACTCCCACAAGGCATTTAAGTGGCCTCCTAGAGGAGAAACATGGGCTCCCTGCTGTCCTGTCTCCCTGCCATGTGCTCAGCCACCTGAGAGCATCATTCTTAATAAAATGATGGGCATTTTTATTTGGTTTGATTTGACCTAATTGGAATTCTTGCACCAGCGGAGCCGCTCTTTTTCTTATCAGTGGCCACTCTTTAGCAATGGACCTCCTAACTCCTACCCAACATCATTCAATTCAGAAATCACCTTATCAACACTATGGTTGCTTGCCTTCCCTCAGTGGGCAGCAGAGGTAGGCTTTCCAACTTTTCACTGCTTCTTATAAAGCTCAGGGTTTACAGTTATCACCTTGCCTATTTAGTAGACAGGAAGTACTAAGATCAGGCTTTATGTCTTGTCTTTGTAGCCTTGGCTTTTTCTAGAGGACTTGATATTTACTGGACAATGAATGATGCCATAACTTCATTCCTTACTTGCTGTCGATAAACTTCAGTGATAATTCTTCAAACTCTTAATATTTTAGAAATATTTTGCTCCACATACTATCCAAAAGGTAGCTATGCTAATCTCTATACCACCAACACCTCAGACCCATATACTAACTGAATCCACATGGGGCTTCTATAGAAAATATAGAAAAACACACAGATGAAAACCCTGAGACTAAGAAATAATACTACAGTACTATCACTGAAAGCAACGTGGGCAGAATCTTATCTCAGAAAATTGGGAGTCGACCTACCTCAGGATCTAGCAATATCACTCTTGGGAATATACCCAAGAGATGCCCAATCATACTACAAAAGCATTTGTTCAACTATGTCCATAGCAGCATTATTTGTAATAGTCAGAACCTGGAAATAACCTAGATGCCCCTCCATGCAAGAATGGATAAAGTGTAGTACATTTCACATTAGAATACTACTCAGCAGAAAAAAAACAATGGCATTTTGAATTTTACATGCAAATGGATGGAAATAGAAAACACTATCTTGAGTGAGATAACCCAGTCCCAAAAATATGAATATGGTATGTACTCACTCATTAGTGGATTCTAGTCATAAACAAAGGACATTTGTGATCCTAGATAAGATAAATAATGTGAACCCAAAGAAAAACATATATAGATTTTCCTGGAAATTGGAAGCAGACAAGATCACCAGGCAAAAGTTGGGAGCATGGGGGTGGGAGTGGGGTGAGGGTAGAGGGGGAGAGAGAATGGAGAAGGGAAGCATTGGGGAGAGCTTGGGGAGTGGAATAGTTGAGATGGAGGAAGGGCAGATATGGGAGCAGGGAAGAAGATATCTTAATTAAGGGAGCCATTTTAGGGTTGCTTTTCTCCCTTTGTAACCTGTATTGGCCTCTTTAAAAGATGACTGGAACATTCCTACTGCTGCAGCTGCAGTTAGCTACAAAAGCTGATAAGTTTTGCCATATATCTCAAAGAATGACTGTGTCTCCAAGAATTTTACTTGTAGTTTTTCATTAATAACGAGTTGTTAGTGAATGGTTGTATACATGCTTGGGAATTTGTAACACAGATTGGAAGAGTAAAGAATGTAGAAGGATAAAGAATGTAGAAAAAAAGAATAGAAAGAATGTAGAGTAATTAGAACAACAATGAATTGCAACAGATAATTGGAATTCAAATTAGAATGGAGACAGAGAATTAGAGCTGAGAAATTTCAGAGAATTGGGGCAATTAGAATTAAAGCAAAACAATCAAGAGACAGGATTGGAACTGTATTGACTGAGAGTGCTAGTTTGATTCCCGACCACTCTGACTTGAAATAGTGACACAGAATCTGTATGAATTGCAATACTGTTTAACCAATAACTTAAGCATATTTCTGTTTAACTTTTATATCCTAAGCTAACCCATCTCCATTAATCTGTGCATCACCACAAGGTCATGGCCTACGGGCAAATTTCAGTGGGTTCCAACAGTAATGTATGTCTCTGGCAGTGGCTACATGGTTTCTCCTTGACTCTGCCTACTCTTTCTTCCTCTATCTGCTTTGAGCTCCTACCTTGCTGTATTCTGCTAATCTATTGGCCAAAACAGCTTTTTTCATTAACCAATGAAAGTAACACAAAGACAGAAGAACTTCCCACACCATTTCCCCTTTTCTGTCAATAAAAAGGAAGGTTTTAACTTTAACATAGTAAAATTACATATAACAAATCAGGTATCAAGCAAGAATTACAGTTACAATATTTGTATTTACTTTATCTTTTTTCATAACTAAGGATAACTATAATTATAATGATCTATTCTTCAATTCTATCAAAGACCTCAGAAAGATATAATATTACCGAAACTAACAGGAAGTGCATTGTAAGCAACTTCCAAAGCTCAAGAAATGACAGAGACATCTCACTGCTTAGACAGTCACCCAAAGTTCTTCTGTACCACTGGGGCATCCATCTTCAGCCTACAGGCCCATAGTATCTGGAAGACTTTTACATGAAGCAGGAAGTTTCAAAGACAGTTGTACCTATATTGGCAGTTTGTCAGTCACTTTCTTCTGTGTCCTGAAGAATGTCTAGCAGACTCATTAATGAAACAGGAACCCCAAAGGACTGTCTCACTTTTAGGCAAGTTTAGCAGTCATTTCTCTGTGGGTCCTGCATGTCCAATTCATCAAGCATTCCAAGCGAGAGCAGGTTCTTGCCCAAATTACTAACCAACTACATACAGAGGCTCTTCAATGCCCAATATCCTCTTGAAGTAGTTTGGTGCTCCCAGGAGCACATATGTCTCTCTGTCATGAAAAGTTCCAAATTCTTAAACATTTTAAATGCCATATTCTGAAGGTCTCTGAAAGATTTGAAGAATACCTGTCTAACTGAAATATATCTTCATATGACTAGAAAGTCTAACTAACATGACTACAAGCTTGACTATTTTAGATGATTATATATTAACCTGTATTTCTTGATTATACATTACATTTTTAAATGAACTGCACAAACATGATACCTTAATCAAGAGCAGAAATACACATATAACAAAATTGACCTAAAATTTATATCAATAAACCAAGATCCATACTAATGCAAAGTATCCATCTCTATAGCATATCCCCCTTTAAATGTAAAGAAACATTTATAGACAATATTTGGGAATATGGACATAGTTCTGCCCAGACTTTTTCCTGATGTTTATTGAGAAAAGTAATTTTTTGAGGAGTGTTCACTGCAGCCTCCAGGGGATCGTCGTCTATCAAACCACATTAGCCTGGAATGAATCCACATGTTCTCATCCTCTGTGGAAACAAAAGTAGAACCTCTTTTCCAAAGCAACATATCCTTAGACCCATATTTTGAATTTGAGATACCTGTAAAATATACATGTTGGCTTAGTTTAGCAGTCCCCAGAATCAAATGTCTCTCTGCAAGAAAAAAATTGAGGTAACACAATAATATACATAATCCAGACTTTCTGTGAATTTTCAATCTTTACGTGGCTTTTTTCACTCCTTTTAATCTATGACTATCTATACTCTGTCTCTTTAAAGACTTTATCTTTTTTTAAACCATTAACTTTCTTTTATGACTTTCTATATTCCTTTTCTTCTCTCTCCCAAGCCTATGTACATTTATCCAACACTGTGATTCATTTAGAGTTCTTTTCCACCTGAATTTGTCTTTATTGCATATCTGTAATTCTTTACTGTCCAGGAACACTTTTTAAAATGCTAAGCACTTCTTAAACCTTAAGTTGCGCCATTACTCGGATAAATGTGTGTGTGTGTGTGTGTATATATATATATATATATATATATATATATATATATATATATTACTTCCTGCTTGCCCTATCAAGTTCAGCATGGTGCAGCTGCTCATGCCTCTGAGCCATGTGCACCACCCCACTTCCAGGCACACAGTTGGTCTGCATTGCTAACAAGCAAGCTGCAGCATGCTGCTCAAACCCCATCCAAATGCTCAGTTTCCCAAAAGAGTCAGAGTTCATGCTAGCAGCACGGCCCATGGCTGGAAATCTGCTATAGAAAGTCTTACAGCCAGTGGTTGCCAACCAATGGGGCATAGCCTCTTATACTATATGTTCTGATGTAGAGCATGCATCTGGCGTCTTTTCTGGTTGCAGGATTTGGTTTCTGATCTTTATTCAAGCAGAGGATTCTGATTTGTGAGTCTACCTC